AAAAAAAGATTTTTACCAAAAAAAAAAAAAAAAAAAAAAAAAAAAAGGCTAAAAGGTTGTTGCACATCTAGGCTGGACCTGCTCTGAATTGTCGGTTCAGCTTCGGCATCCCATTGTCCATTTCTATTCATCATACAATAAAATCTCAGAAACCATGAACAACAGATAAACCGATCAATCTAAACCGAGCATAGAAGATCTATGATAATACATCTGCGGTTACCTTTTGGAGAGTGGATGAATCGTCTTTAAGAAGATAGACGAGGCACAGAAGAACAATGAACTCTGTAAATGTAATTCCCATATCCTCGTTAATATCACAAGCCTTGAACAAATCATTTATCTCTTCTTCATCGAACGAGATCTCTAGCTTCTTGATACAATTCTTTAGCTCTGTGTGATCGATAGACCCGTTTGAATCCTCATCTGCCCAAAACCAACCAAGTAAACAACCATCAAATCATGAGATACCCGCAATTTAGAATCTGCCACGTATGCACTCACCAAATTCTTGGAAAATGGCTTTGCAGTTTCGAAGACCATCATCGATCTTTGGGAACTTGAGAACAATGCTGTTGAAAGATTTCATTGTGGTGCCTCTCGATGCCCTGCGTTGCACGGCTTCTATGATCTTAGCCTCCAACTTTGTCTCTGGAACCCATTCTTTTTGCAGAGTTTCAGATTTCGTCACTGCACCTCCCATGTCTCTGTTAATTTGTCTGTGCTCGGAGATCAGATCGTAGATTCACCCCGAGACAAAAATCTAGTTTCTTGTAAGACAAGGCAGCTTAACGTCTTGGTTGTCCAAAATATACGAACGTTGTCTGATTCCAAGACTATCAAAACCAGATCTAGATTCAATATATGAGGGTAAAATAAAAACTAAATCGAGACATAATAGATAAAGGACAAGTTTCACATCAGACAATAAATGTCACAAGAATCAGGACAAAAGCAAACAAAAAAGTAAGAAGAGAAGAAGAACCTGTTTTAGTTTCTTGTTTGTCTCGAGATCAAAAGTCAAAATACAATCACACAGATCTGTTTATTGTTATAATTTTTAACCAGAGAAAAAAAAAACTATTTGATGTTTGAGAAGAAGAAAGCTTTTGTAATGGCGTGAAGAATGCTGAAGCTTCCACGTAATTGCGCATCTTTAAAAAAACGCTAATCCATTTGTCATCTATTTATTATTTTAACACAAACTCTCCATCTTCGTTTGACTTTTCTCCATTTTACTACTTCCTTTGTTTCTAAAAGTTTAATTTTCTAGATTTTTTTCCTTGTCTTATAAATATTGGATTTTATGTTTTTTATATAATTTTTGTAATTAATATTGTTAAATTGCAAACTTCAAAAACTATTAATAAATGAAAATAGTTAAATGTATATGAGATCCTGTTTAATATATATGAGAAAACAATGTAGTTCTAACTAAATATGAATTATTTCTTAAGTGTGTGAAAACTTTTAAGAAAATCAAATATCTAGAAACATAAGAAGTAGTATTCTTTTTTCAATGTACAAAGGTATTAGCTACTAGTACTAATCTTATCTATTATTACTTTGTTGGCAATTTGGCATTATTATCATTCATAATTCCTAGATGTCATGAAAATAACTAGAAGGTTTTGTTGACCAGTGAACAAAATGATTTCAAATTTTGGATATTCCGTCTTTTATATATGGACCATCAATGTAATCCATTCAGTGAACACATGGAAATCCCTATCTTTCATGCTGTGATCCGATGTCAAATATCAATTAAACATATTTGTATCCTTTTGCGGCGATGCAATTTTTCATTGCTGCAGTTTCGAACATATATAGTTATTTTATCGAGTCCTCTTTATTCAAACAAATTGTTTGATTATGTTTTTACTCTAGTAGAAAAGACTTTGTCTTAGATAAGTATATTATAAATACAAAATCAACTTTAGAATATGTTTTTAAAGTACCATCGTCTCAAAATTGACAGGTTCTCTAAAATAATGTTTATTTGGGGTTCATACGAAACAAACATAAACTTTAATGGTTTATTTGCATTTAAGTTGCTTAATTATCTGATTGATTGAGGCCTTTTGAAAGCAAATTTTTAAAACATAATTGTTATGTTGGTTCAATAGAAGAGATAAATACTTGCAATGTAAGAAACCAATGTAAAAAAGATTACAACAAAACCTGAAACACATGAAAGACATAATCACATAAAGGGTGAACACATTATGCCTTTTAGAGACATGAGGTTCTCAATGTGATTCGGAAAAGCGTGGAGAAAACTAGAGGGTATAAAATTGTCATTAGATCCATAACAACGCCTAAATTTCTCATTTTCAATTCCTTTGACACTTCTGATAGTCTCTCTCACCGGATCATAATAAAAAGCAGAAATATTTTTGGGGGTATTTCCCGATACATAGATAAACTCACCAGTACTAGTGGCACCACGTAACCAAGCATTCCGAGGCAAATCTCTTTGAGGCAAAGGTAAAACAAATTCATTTTCTGACCATACTTGTTTTTCAGCATCCTTCAAAACCCATAATTTGATAATATTTGAATTATAGCAAATCCATGCTACTTTTCCTTGGTAACACATTAGAGATTCTTCAAGCATCGACTCATATTGGAATTTACGACCAGGTATTTGGATTGATTTGAACTGTTCAGACCTCACATCAAAACTCATAATGATCTCCTTCAATCTCAATTCCAAGATTTCTTTGGAAAGCGGAGGGAGAATACTATGATAGTCTCGATCTTCTTCAAGGGATATATCTGCTCTATAATACACAACTCCGTACGTTGATGCAATAATACTTACGGCTAGGATCATGATCAGGGCTACTATTGATCACTCTCCATGATGATTCTTGAGATCCTAACGTAAGAATTTTAGGCTTTTGATATTTTTCCCCTCTCTTATAAGAACATGCCAACGATAGTAGTTTATATTTATTTTCCATAGGATCGTATCCTAAAAAGCTTTGTAAACATTTAGAGCTTTTAGGTTTAACAAAGATTATATGTTCTTTCATGGTAGGATTCCAAATTATAATCTCCGTACTGGTTGTGAAAGTGATCAAGCCATTGACAGAAACAGTATAGTAGTTGTAAACTTTTGTGGGAGGCAAAATGATATGAAAATTGTTCACATCAAAAAAACTTGTAGAGTTCTTTTGAATTGGCAGCACGCAGAAGACTTGGTTCATTCCATTACCTTTCTCGATGAAGGTAATAAGAAGATTCTGACGCGGAATTGATGATTGTCGAATCGCAAATGAATTGATGAAATCTGGTTGGGTGGTGGTAGACCACCATAGTTTTGATATACAACGAAATCTAACGATAGATTTTGCAGGAAGTCTCATAAGTATATCCCTCGTTAGATCAATGGGAATATAGTCATGATTAGAAAATAGTCCATTATCATCGTATTCGTTGTCGCCATTAAAACAAGCTGATGAAGATTTTGTAATTCTATGGATTACTTTTATCTCCTCTTCTCTTTTTTCCATGGCTCCTAATGTTAAAATCCTTTAATTTATGAGGTTTTTTTTTGTTTTGATTATTTTATTTTGTATCTTTCATTTTAACAGTATATATATGTTAAACAGTATATAAATGTCACAAGAATCAGGACGAAAGCAAACAAAAAAGTAAAAGAAGAGAAGAAGAACCTGTTTTAGTTTCTTGTTTGTCTCGAGATCAAAAGTCAAAACACAATCACACAGATCTGTTTATTGTTATAATTTTTAACCAGAGAAAAAAATATATATTTGATGTTTGAGAAGAAGAAAGATTTTGTAATGGCGTGAAGAATGCTAAAGCTTCCACGTAATTGCGCATCTTTACAAAAAACGCTAATCCATTTGTCATCTATTTATTATTTTAACACAAACTCTCCATCTTCATTTGACTTTTCTCTATTTTACTACTTCCTTTAATTTGTTTCTAAAAGTTTACTTTTCTAGATTTTTTTCCTTGTTTCTTAAATATTGGATTTTATGTTTTCTATGTAATTTTTGTAATTAATATTGTTAAATTTTAGGCATCTAAGTCATTTAAAAAATTACAAAAAAAAATAATATGGCAAATTAAAAAAATATATATATATATATGTTTTAAAATTCTTCCGAATTAATAATGTTATTATAATACTTACGGTTATATCTTGTTATTCTTTAGTTTGGATTGACTTCATGCTTTTGATAGAGAAAAACAAATTTGTATTTTGAATTTAACATTAATATATATGAAATTTGATAATATTTTTTTTTTAATTTATTTGTTGTTTCTTTTTCTTTAATATATAAAGGGTTTGATAAAAAAAAAAAAACTTTTTGCCAAAACGCTTGCGGAAAAGAGCTTTTGAAATTCAGCAATTTCGAGCGGTTTAGAATGATTTCCGAACGGTTTGAAGTTATTTCTATGATTGGTTTTAAACAAGTCTGTGCCTACATGGAAATAATATAAACTTTCGCCTATGTTTATTTTTTTTGTAAGTTTGCATTATCTATATATAAATTTCTGTATATATAACAACTACAACCATAAGCTATGAGTCTACGTTCATTTTTTAATATTGAAAGTAACTTTCTAATTTTTAATATTGCCTACGTTCATTTTTTAATATTGAAAGTGACTTTCTAATTTTGGGTAACATAATTTATGAGTCTTTTAAATTATAATCTAGTTAAATTTTTTAAATTGAATTAAACATTAAAACAAAGAAAATATTAGAGTAACTAAATTCTTTACTTTGTTCTAAATCACCAATTTAAATTATTTTGATCTAATTTTTTTATAGTGACTATACATCTATCAATCTGTTATAATTACTCAAATAACTTAAATAATCAAGAAAAAATGATCAAAAATTTGCAAAAAATTAAGAAAAAGATGAGCAAAACATAAGTAATATATTTTAAAGAACTGACTAATAAATCGACCACCTAATCAAGTTATAAGATTCTTAGTTATGATTTATGTTGTTGATTCATGTTTTTTAGATTAGATTAATAAAGCTTAAGCATATTGTTAAAAAAATAAATACTTTGTTGATAAATTGTCTTAAATAGCC